TTAAACATGTTAGCGGGCGCTCAACCCTCCCCTAACCTGGGACAGTGGTGTAAAAGTACAACATAAGAACAAACTATAAAAATCAGTTGGAAAAGGCTTAACTCATCAGATGGATACAAATAGAATATATAGTTTATTTTTACAAGACCGCCTCCCGTAAAATGGTGTCCTGTTAGACTGCTCTTATAATTGAATTCATCCGTGGTTCTAATGAGTTAAAACCTTCACCCAAAAGTATTCAAAATTTTCGCCAAAAAATTAAGACGCTAGCATGGTGATGATAGACAGACTGACCACCAAGACTCGAAAAGTGGTTACGCTTCCATATCTTTTTTTTTACCCGCAACGACATTTCTTTTTTAAAGTTGTTATTTAATCATACAAAGACTATATCATATATTATTATACCTTACATATATTATAAACAATTCTATTGGGTAACACGTTATCACGTGACATGGAATAATTCAGTTAATTTTCATTTAATTGCAAGGAGGGACGAATAACCGTAAAAACTTACACCAGCGGTGAATAACCCTATTATTCCCCGATGAATAACCTTTTGAGTTTCTTGATCAATCTCCGGCGCAGAGATCATATCCGTTCCATTCAATACTTCGTAACACTACACTCAACATATTAAGTGCAGTATTGTGGAGCATGTATGGAACGGATATGAACTCTGCGCCGAAGATTGTTTCTTGATTTGTACACGAGTTATCTTCCACGAAAATGACGTCACAGGCGTAAGTAAACAAAATGGCAACGTTCAACTTCAAGTTACTGGAAACCCATCAAGTGACGAGGAAACAAGGCTTTGGAAATGCATCTAGTGCCGAGGATATCTCTTATAAACGGTCCTTTTCAGGGCCATCAATATTTCACAAAAAGATTCTACCTTTGTTGTACATATGAGAAATTCAAAGACACAAATTTATTTTCGAACGTTTACTTGTGTTTGTTACGATACAGTAGGTTACGTGTTTTTTTCAGTGTTTCAAAAGGCCCTTCCACTGTTAGTTCGGTATAATAAAACAATTGTGGCCCCTTAGAAGCGATGAATATCCAAAATTGTCAACCCTGAAAAATTATTCGCCCTCAGTGAAATAACTTTTTCGTGTTGACAATTTTGAATATTCACCTGCTCTACGGGCCATAATTGTATATTGACACCCATGAACATTTAAAACATTCCAAATTGATAGAGCTTTTTTCTATATGACTTTTCTTTAATAGGCAGCATAAACGTAAAATAATTGTAATAAATGTCTCTTGATAAATAATAATAATTAGACGATTTGCTTTGAAACGTTCATTTCAAATATAATTGTTGTTTAAAAACTGTTTAATTTTAGTTTCTAAAAAAAATCAATCATTGTGCAGTTCTTATCAAATAAGTGTACCAAATAAACAGATTTGTACAGAATACAAAGCTGTTTAGTTAATGAACAGAATGCGGAATCATGCGAAAGAAAAGGAACTTCAGAAAGCAATAAACGAAGACTAATCATTTAAACTTATTACCAATGCAGCTAACAACAGGATGACAGTAATGAAAAGGTTTTGTAGAATACAAATGTTAGACAATTGCTTATAAAACTTATATCCTTTAAAGTTATTATTAGATAATAAATTATCACTTGAATGTTTTATTGGTGTCTTCTGGCTATTCCTACATTTTGTATTTTACTATTCTGGCTATTCCTACATGGGAGATTATGAGAAGAAAACAATAGATGTTGTTATTGCAAAATATGTTGTTTACGTCATTAGTGTCTAATTAGGTCACAGGTGGAAATTAAATAAAAATAATTATTTATATGAAATTTATGTAAAAATATGGGATTTGTTTGGTTTGAAAACATGTATCCTACAAGTTCCAGATAAAGTCAAGACGTGGAAACAGATGTTATTTGAAATGCTCTACCCGTAACTGCCCTGCCACTATCAACACACACAACAACATACCAACCAAAGTGGATGACAATCACCACTCAGACAGAATGCAACTCAGAGTAGACGATGTACTAGAACGTATGAAATCCCGTTTCAAAGATGAACTCACTGCAATTCCAACTATCATTGAAGAAGAATTGGTAAAACTCCGTGACCGAGAATGGAATTATGATACACACCAACTAATTGAACACATACCAACCTTCTATTCATGCAAGTACCAGCTTTACAACGAGAGACACAAGACATTACCTGCACTACCAACATCAGTAGCAGATATTACAGTAGATGGTGAATGGGCTGAAACTACTACTGGACAACCTTTCCTACTTGCAGATGATACCACCAATGATCGAATGCTTGTATTCAGTACCAAAGAGAACCTCATACATCTAGCAGCAGCAGACACCATCTACTGTGATGGAACATTCTGTTTGTCCAACACTGTTCTACCAGCTATACACTTTCCATGCTAAAGTTGATGGTACCATGTTTCCACTGGTTTACAGTCTCCTACCCGGTAAAGGTCAGCAGATATACACAAGACTACTCACTTTTCTTCAAGATCTTTTTAACCACTTCAACATACTAATACAACCAGCCACAATGTTCCTCGACTACAAAATAGCCATCAGAAACGCAGCGACTTCAATCTTCCCAGGAATCAACATTAAAGGGTGCTTTAATCACTACACTCAGTGTATCCTGAGAAATGCACAGAAGCATGGTTTGCAGACTGCATACAGTGAAAAAGGCGACATTCACCAACTTGTTCGGAGAGCTGCAGTTCTGCCACTTTTAACACCCGATACAGTCGAAGATGTTTGGTTTAACGCACTGGAAGACATCGATGCTGCAAATATTGATACACCAACTCTTAAATTCACAGACTATGTAACAAGTTACTGGGTAGAAAACAACCAAAGCCTATGGAATCACTACGCAACAGAAGGTCCTAGAACAACAAATCATTTAGAAGGTTGGCATAATAGAATGAAGAAGTTAGTCAAGGCACCTAACCCAAACATCTTCAGCATGATCAAGTTGTTGAGACAAGAATAAGCCTTCCATGCTCTCACACTTATCCAATACAGAGCCGGTGGGAAACGTGTTCAAAGAAAGAGAAATACAGGGAAATAGATGACAGACTTCAAACACTGAAAACAAGGTTACAGAATGATGAACTTACGCCAGTCCAGTATGGAGATGTTGCTTCTTATCTCCTGCACGTTGATTAAGACTTTGTATTCTCTTGTGTGTTCAATTTAGTGCAGTGTATTACTGTGTTAGTGCTCTGTTTTAATGTCAATTTAGTGTACTTTTCGGTGCTTTGTTTCAATGAATATGTAGTGTAACTAAAAATTTAGTGCTTTGTTTCAATGAATATGTAGTGTAACTCAAAATTTAGTGCTTTGTTTCAAAGAATAATTACTACAATTTCAATATATTTATATTTCAATTGATATTATTTACTTGTATGTATTAATGTTTTCACCTAAATAATTTCAATTGCTTTTGAATAACATTGTGTACTTTGACCTATAATTGTTAACTTTTTATACATTGTGACTTGGATGGAGAGATGTCTCATTGGCACTCATTCCACATTTTCTTATTTATATTTTGATTATTATTTACACAAAATGTGCTAAGAAATTATTAAATAAAATATTTTAATAAAAACTATTCTTTTTCTTTATTTTCCGAAAGATTTACCTGGATTTACCTTGGTTCATTAGTTTAGTGTTGTTACAACATAATCCTACATAATCCCATTGTTTACATAAAAATTCTGGGAACTCCAACATAAATTTTACTATTTTACCTATAAAATTCAAAATGTAGGAATAGCCAGAATAAACCGTTTGTTTAGTTATAACCCCGAAACTTTGACAATTAATTTTGTGTGGGGCATTGTTTAAATGAATTCTTTAATTCTAAATTTAGTGATAGTTTGTTTTTAATTATAGTTCAGAAACTTGTTTTCCCTAAGAAAAAATATATGCCTCACAAAAGATAATTGGTCGGTGCCATTCGATTCTCCTTGATCTTAATATTATGATGATAAAACTTTCAAGTTCAAAATATAGTTTTTATTTTATTTAAAACTCCGACTCAGGAGTTTCGAAACTCAAATTACGTTTTTTATATCATTATTTCCTTTAGATTTACAATTTTTCCACATATTCAACATGAAAATTAGTTACACAATATTCCTTAAAGCAGAATAGGGGAATTCATCGATGGCAGTTTGGGATTTATTTTCCTATTTATATATCTTACCGACTAAACAACCAATCAAATACAGTTATTTCTAAACGTCCTTTATCAAATCGGTCGACTATAATATTTCTATTTATTAACAATATACCTAACCCGAATATTTCTGTTTTTGTTGGATAAAATGAATCATACTGCTGACTGTGATATGCAAACTGAAGATAAGTTTGCGTCTCTGCAACCTACTGAGTTAATTTCACAGGATAAACTGATTTTTTATGATCAGCTGGAGAACAGTACTGCAGGATTTGTGTACCAAAAAACTGACTTAAAAAGAGTTCTACGATTTCTGTATTTGAGTAGAAAAAGAGAATCGTATAACGCGAAAGAAAAGTAATTTCAGAGAGAAAACATACATTGTTTTGACCGGTAAACTTTTGGTTGTACATATACGTTTGCGTGAATTTTGCGTTCCCAAAAAAAGATTTTAAAATATGTCTAAAATATTGGAAATCATATAATACTGAATGGAAATTTGTTAACGGTCTTAAAAGCTTAAAACAATTTTTTTATTTTATTTATTTATCAAAACAGATAAAAAAAAATCATAGAAAATGCTAATTAGCGAAAACATCTTTTTGAAGTAATTAAAAAAAAATGATAATGACATGAAAAGGCTGTGCATTTTGTGTAATTTTGATATTTATCTGCTTCAGGTGCAATGAATATTTGTACCGTTTTTGTTTTTATCCCCTTTGGTATGTCTTAAAATGTTCTATATATTTGGTTCAAATGATAGTTTGAAACTTTCGACAAATGCCTTTATTAGGGTTAGGGCTTTTAAAAAGTCCAGCTATGATGCTTTAAGCAATATAAAAGTCCATTATATATAGTGTATTGAATGATTGTAAAATGTACATGGAATTTAATAATGTTACGCTCATGAGATATCATAATGACTTTTAACCAAAAGTTCAATCATCAGCAGTAAACCAGATGAGACGTCGGAAATTGTGCATTCTTTCTATTACAGAAATGTACTCATCGCATTTACTGGATTGGAGCTGCTGTCAATCTCAATAGATGGGTCAGAATTAGCGTCAGACATGTACTGGTAATCTGATATCGACTTCGACAAACTGTGAGACACTGCACGATTAGTTTCCGCTTTGTTTGATATATTCCAGCAGTCCATTTCAGTCATAATCGCCGGTGTTTTTGTAGCCCCACATTCCTTTATGACTGAAATGAGATTGTCATCGTTGGCAGTATATTCGTTCGAAATTGTTGGTAGAAATGAAAGACTTGATTGTTCAGGAGAAATGGTTACGGACTCTTGTTTCAATTCAGAACTAAAATTACGCTGAGGACACGTTGATGATTCAGTGCTCGACGAATCTAATTTATATTCAAATTGATCTACAGTTGTACTATATAAATGTACAAAATCGGAATCTGTGTTACATTGTAATATTTCATACGGCTTTAAATAAAAACTATAATCTACAACTTCCAAGTATGATCGATTTGAAGCCGATGATGATTTACTTGTACTGGAACAGCTGCTTACACTGGCTGCTTCGGTTTTATTTAGCATATCCAAGCCAACCGGAACCTGCATCATCTCGTTTTCGTTTATCGTCTCATATACTGACAAATTGTGTTCAATTTGAGGAGGTTGTGTGTCGGTATTTGCAATGGAGTTACTGTTTGGAATGTTTGGTCCCGTAAATTCCTCACCGTTTTCAAAATTCACAGTTCGACATTTCCGATTTATCCCGATATTAACGCCAACGAATAAAGATACAAATAATACCAGTCCACCTGCCAATGGTCCATATGTTATACTAAGGCTATTTTCTGTAAACGTAAATTACATCGAATTTTTGAAACAAGATTATGAAACTTAATTCCTATGTTTTACCTTCTTTCGTCGTATTTACTAAAACACGTCTCAAAAGCTCTGTTTTGTTCGTGTGTGTGTGTGTGTGTGTGTGTTTTGTTTTAGTTACCTGATGACATGGACCTCATATTTTCGAATACTGATATGACAAGTGTTCGATCGAAGTTCGGGCCCTTTTATAGGTTGCTTTTCAGCATGGGTTTTGCTCATTGTAAGCAGGTCGTACGGTAATCTACAGTTGCTTTTATGGTGTATAGCGTCTGCGTTATTTGTGTTTGGTGGAAATCTTCTAATTGACAATCATACAACATCTAATTATTTTTGATAATAGCTTATATTGGAAACTTAATGTGTTTTACAGATTATTGATAGTCTCATTTTTAGATTCATCAGCCATTTTTTTAAAGATTATTAATAAGACACCACCGAAGTGGTTCTTGCTTTCGATTATTTTAGTGTCAATAGATGCAGAAAGTATAGGTAGTACAAAATAAGCCATGTTTTATATTTCAATGTGCAGAAAAAGAATTTATCATTTAAAAACATGTCCCCGTTATCAATTGGACTACAAACTAATTTGCACCTGTGTGACTTTCTGTTGTCATGTCAACATTGTGTTGTGTACTCCTCTGCTCGTACTTCTCACTAGCATTCTCTACAATCATAAAACTAGTTTGTATTGCCCTTAGACATTATATTATATTGAAACCATCTTATTATTCAAATATGAAAATGGAGAAATTTATCAGCTGATAGAGAGGCATTGCACATGGTCAAATTGGAATGTTGATGAAACCTAATTGGATTGAAGCCTGAATACAGTGGTTATATTTTTCAACAGTTTAACACATTTACCCATGAAATCATATGTTTTTCCAACACTACCTGTTGCTGTTTTTTCAGCACCAACCATTTGTTGTTAAAGGATACTTAAATGTCAATCAAAATCCATAAGCCGGAGAGAAAGAGACAACACCATGGCAAAATAACCTCGAAAAACGACAAAAAAAAACAAACCACAGTCTAGAAAACACTACAAATAAAACTTAAGACTGAACAACATCTCATATGCCCCGGAAGTGTAAGCAGATCCTGTCCCACATATGGAACCTGTCGTGTTGTGCTGTTACACACTGTCCCAGGTTAGGGGGAGGGTTTGGCGCCAACAAACTAGTTTAACCCCGCCACATTCTGTATGTGTCTGTCCCAAGTCAGGAGCCTGTAATTCAGTGGTTGTTGTTTGTTGCTGTGTAACATATTTGTATTTTGTTCCTTATTTTGTACATAAATTAGGCCGTTATTTTTCTCGTTTGAATTGTTTTACATTTGTCATCTCAGGGCCTTTTATAGCTGACTATGCGGTATGGGCTTTGTTCATTGTTGAAGGCCGTATAGATGTTAATTTCTGTGTCATTTGGTCTCTTGTGGAGAGTTGTCTCATTGGCAATCATACCACATCTCCTTATTTTTAAATAATGACGATTTTCCTAGTTCTCTTTGATTTCATGTCATAAAAACATAAATGTAAATCTTTCCTCTACCTGTATAAGTATGATTTTGTTTTTAGGGGAAACAAAATCGGTGCTGGCTTCGTAAGTTTCATTCCCCTCCCCTCTGATTTTTGTAATAATTGAACACTCTGACAATGCCTGAGAGCAACCAATCCCAAACTGAAGTCACATCATAGGTCGCATGCAATCGGATCCAAATTAGGACGAATTAATATCTTGCAAGACAATAATGTATTAGCGAAGTTTTTGACAAGACTGATCCACGGCGACGGCTAATAGCGAATTATTATTTAATATTCCGTTCATGTAAATATTTGGACTATTTTTCAAATTAGCATTCAATATTTATATAATCTACATGTATATTTGACAATGTTGATACTTTCAAATAGATTTGTAGTTCTTATTGTGCAAGTTTTTTGTCAAGTGAAAGAAGGGTATGCAATTAACCCATCATTTGTATGTCGATTTAACTGGATATTAGAAGTACATCCAACAGTCTAATTAGTCTAATGTATAGGATTTTAATGGTAGAAAAAAGCATCATTTCTTATAAATTTGTTTTCTAAGACGATCAGTACTGACAGTACTGATATATATAGATATCCGGATATGGTGTACAAAAAATCTTTGCACCTTTGTTTGCGGTATACCATCTTCGCCGCAAGTTTATTGTTTTCTGTTTGGTATTAAATTTATAGTTAAGATCCATTTATTACACCTTGTGGTCCGTTTATTTGGCAATCGCCAATGGCAGTCAGCAGGATTTAAGAACATTTGTTGTTCGACCTGTTAGTCAAATGCGTTTTGTTAAAATATACTTTTTCACTGTTTTGGTCTTTTGGAAAATGTTGTTTGTGCTGTATTTAGACCCCTCTAACAAGAAATTGTTTGCATGCACACGTATAAAAATTGCGGTTTTTATCCAACGCAATCATAGGTTTGAACGTTGTTTTCAATTTAGACTTGTTTATATATATATATATATATATCAGTGTATAATACAATATTGTTAAGTCCAATTTTTGCAAATATTTCAAGAGTGAGTGGTTACCGAAGCTTAAACAACGTGTATTTATTATAAAACGATAACATCTAAGATCTCTTTCTAAACTAGCTTTTACCTTCTATCTGTTCGAAACTATGTTGAGTTTCTCCAAACTCATTCGTCAGAATCAGAGTATAATCCCCTAGTGTGTCACGTGGTATGCCAAGTTTAGCACTATATCCAGGTAGTACTACCATTTTACCATACATTTCTAACGACACATTTTGTGCAGCTAAAGTCATTGAATATAGCATTGAATTTGTTAATAACTCGGTATTCTTAAACCACATTGTTGAAAAAGTTGGAGAATTGCTATAGTACTGCACAACATATGTCACATTAGGTTCGGTGTACCGGTTTGTCTCAGTTATTATTGGAGCATCTGTAATAAACATAAAAATGTAAATAGACTTAACACGGGTGAGTGTGAAATTCTTAAGCTTAAGTTAAAAACACAACATAAAGAATGAAGTAAACCAACCTGAACTTATTAAATGTATGATTGGTCAATATATCCAAGACAGATCACCATCATTTACTCACTATAAATAAGAAGATTTGGTATGAGTGCCATTGAGACAACTCTCCATTCAAGTAACAATGTGTGAAAAGTAAACAATTATAGGTCAATGTACGGCCTTCAACACGGAGCCTAGTATTACTAGTATGGGATGCTTTGAATTTGATACATGCAACGTTTATTATTATCATGGCAGTAAGTAGGGTGGTACATTTATACGATAAAAGTCAATATGTAAAAAGATTTGTTTTTGTAATGTTTGTTTATTGTTTTTTAATGTTTTAATTTTTTTAATATTTCTGTTTTTTTGGTTGGTTTTTTTTTATTTGTTTTTGGTTTATTCTCCTTTTTTCTTCTTATTGGGGGTGATGGTCAATTAAATTTTATCAGAAAACACAGTAAACAGAGTGAAATAAATAATTGCTATGTTAACATACAATACCATAAAATACCAATAACGGTGCTTGCAATACATTTTTATGAAAATATCTTCATTTAGATATGCTCGATGCCAACAGTTTTGGAAGCAGTTTGCTTAAATACGTAAAAGACTTAAATCTGAAAGAGCTTTTACCGAAAACCCAATATTGTCTTCAGTTAACTTTACCTGGGATACTTGCAACTTTAATATTATTAAAGTTTAATTTGTAAATGAAACAATAGGAATGTATCACTTAAAGGAGGCTAGAAAGGTAGCACCAGATACGTGTTCTCTTCTTGATGACCTCATTGATTTAAGGATGTATTCTTCTGACGTTTCAGTCTCGTTGAAATCTCGTTCTGGAATTATTTCCAAAACATGTGATACAAGTGGAAAATATCAATGAATTTAAAAAATATTATAATCAAACTTAACTCTGTAAAAAAATTGTGTATTTACAATAAGTAGTTTTTGAGTAATAAAATGTTCATATTTTATAACCAATCAAGTTAGCCAAAATGCTGAGGAAATGGGTGAGGGGTACAAGAAATGATTTTACCAGAAACATGTACATCCCATTTCATTTTTTTCTTTTCAAATTTCATAGATATGTATTTTTTCAATCATTTATAACAAAGAAGTTGAAATAATATGCTTTTTGTTCTAAAAAAAGAGAAAAATCCAAAATTGACAAAATTGACAACATGGTAAATTTGACATAATAAAAGCAACAACATTTTATAAAACTTTCTTATATTAACACCTACCTATAGTTTTGTTAAGTTAAATTTATTCAGATTGGTCCACTTCATCTTTAGTGAAAGTATGAAAAAAAGTTTAATTGTGTAACTGTGATTTTTTTTCATGATAATAGCCCAGAAATGGGTAAAAATTTATGAAAAATGGAAAAATCATCAAAATTGGGTACTTTTAAATGGCTGTAGCTACAAAAGAAGAGCACAACCATATGATTTTTTCTTCACCAATTATTTTTTTACAGTCATATAAACCCAAAAATCAGGTTAAGAAAAAAGGTTTAATTCTAGAAATGTTTGGCTCCTCAGAGGTGTACATCCTTAAAGGAGGGTAAAAAAATATTTACGATTGACTGTAATTGTTGTTGTCTTGTTCGATACATATTTCTCTTTTCCGATTTGATTCCAGGCTCGACAGATATATTCACCGGAATCTTCAAATGAGCATGAAGAGATTAGAAGAGTTAATGTGGCTTTGTTGACATTTCCTTCAATATATCTGATGAATTGTTCATTAATTTTATGGGTCCATAAGTTAAAGCCATACGTTTGTAGTTCACCGGATAAAACACAAAACAGCATAATATTCGAAGTAAGATTACACTCTGTTGGATTGCTAACTGTCACAAGTGGCGGACCTAAAATGAAATTGGAAAACTTATTGGTTTACCGTAACAGCGTCCGTATGGTGATGGCAATACCTTTTATACTAAAACATAAATCAGCATTGATGAGTTGTTTAATAAGTTAAAGGGTTGGTTTGTATAATTACGTAAAACGTTGGTTTGACTATTTCTTAGGAGCAAATTTTCCTTAAACCTAATATACCTATATTTCATAAATGTGATATCTTACATATCTGCTGCTGTGTTTTTCTAGATCTGGACAGAGTAAAACACATTAATTAGTGTCATTCTCCGAATAAATTACTACCATTACAGATGAAATTGAAAGTTGTGATCACGTGACTTTCTATAACTCACATAGTCCCTAAAATATAAATGAAGACAAAAAAGGAGATTTGGTCAAAGTGATCGTTTTCTCTTGGAAAATGTGTAAACAACTGACAGGATATGGACTTTTATATTTGTGTCAGTGTTTATAGCCCAGGAAGAAGATTTGATAAAATGCTTTTGATGATAAGATTGACATACAAATCAATGTACAGCAACCAGAAACGAAAAGCACGTAAAGCTTTTGATTGTTGGAAGGTGCATCAATTCTAGATGCCATGTAGGTAATAATGAAATAGTAAATGATGCTTAAACAAATAAATAGTCTTTATGTATATATAGCACTTGCAGTTATAAAGTATACAGTCAGACAGTGTTATAAATTACATTCACCGACTTTGACAAGGCAAGCTTAAGGAAGAACATACAATAATGAATTAACATATTTCCTGTTTTTCCCAAAGCAAACTATTTTTAATTCTTTAAAAGGATGCATGAGTCAATCATATAATCGAAATATATGATACATGTGTGAGATAGTACCCTTTTATTGACAATGTTAGTCTTTTTCTTATTTATAATTATGCCAAAACAAAGTCTCGTTATATGACGGCTCTAGAGCAAGTATTTATTATTGGCGCTAACTTAAGATGTTCACCAGAATCCTGATGTTTAGTTGAAAACTATTGAAATATTTTTATTTTTATTTTCAGTAAGTTAATAGGACATGTGCCAAATAAAAGTCGGGTAACCCAGGGTTGGAGGTTAAATGGGTGCCCTAAAAGGGGTTTTCTGTATAAAAAAGACCAAGAAAAGTGTTTTTAACAATATTGGTTTCTAGATTATGAAGTCTTTTTTCAGCAATATTATCGTGTTTGTTGGGGACCATCTATCAATGTGTAGCAAGGGCAGCCATGCCAAATAACTATACTTGTACTTGTTTTTTTACTTCAATCGCAAAAACATTGATCAATGCCGTTCTGGCAAGGGTTCTTTAACATGTAAAAAGCGCGACACTCACCCTACACGAGGAATTGGATTTAACATCCCAATTCCGGCCAGACATAGCTTCGAATTTATACGCCAGAATGTGTGAGTGATGACAATATTTCTATACCCCCTGATAACCCTTGGATTTATCAAATATTGATCATTAAAAGTTAATTCCATAACTAAGGTCTGTTTTATTGTTCTTTTTCAGGACAAATCTTACTTGAAATATTCAAAGTTATAGTTGCTGATGAAGTGATTTGCTTGAATCGGGCAATACAAGTGCATATCCTTCCATTGTAACTTGATCTGAGATGTAGGAATAATATTGCAGTAAATGTAGAATTGATCTGCTCTACCTGAACAGATGTAAAATTCAGACAATTCCAATGCATTTGAATTTCAAGAGAAGTAATAATACTGCAACTTAGGTTAATGTTTGTTCCAGATACCAAAGGTGAACCAACTGGGGATATCTTTGGGCTGGTTATATCTGCAAATCAAAAAGAAGACTTTAAGTTTTATTTAAACCATTGTTGTATAAGCACATGTTTAAAGCATTGCATGCAATTCTTTTTTTTGAAAAATTGATGTATTGAAATATCCGTGTGGTATTTTTTTTTTTATTTCATGATTGCTCAGATATTATTCAATAAATTAAAATCACCGAATTGAACTTGGTGTGCCAAAATTGTTGACCTAAATTGTGAAATGTCCTGTAAATTCATGGTAACCCACATAAAAATATGATGAAATGCAAAATATATCTTTTAATTTATTGTTGCTGATACGAGGGTTTCGTGCAAATGACACGTGTTTCTGGAGTTATCTTTATCGGGTATGCTCTAAATCAACGTTGATAGAAAAAATCTATAACATATCTGCTGAAACCTTAAAATCACAAAAAAAGCCGAAACAGAACAGACGATACTGTGAGGGTCTATTTTTGCCGAGAGGAGCTCAAACCTTAAATACATTACCTAAAACCTGAACGGATATGCTGTCATTTATAAAAAATGTCCGACCAATTTTAAATTTCATGGAACATACAATCTCTACATCTACATCTGTCCTTTGTTGATTTATATTTATTCGTATTCCATATGTCTTTCCATTGTTGGAACACTGGCAAATATCCCGTATGCACTTTTTCCTTGTAGTTGCTGAGTAACAATCATTGTTGTGTCGTCTTAAGCTGTTTATTGTGTCCCCGTTTACAAGGAATTCTGCTGTTTCCCCTGCTGGCACAGTATTTGATGAGCAGTTAACCCATATTTTATCACCACTCTTGGCATACAATGGCCCTTGAAGATCAACATTAACTTGTGTGGTAATATCTGTGGTTGATATAATCATTTAAGATATAACAACATGTAGATAGATTATTCAAAAAGATGCCTCCTTCCTCAAATTGTTTATGTAATTAATTCTGTTTTAATTTCTTTTGTTTGATTTCAAATCTTTCAAAATTAGTATTAGATTGTGTACTTTTGTATCGCTTTTCTTCTATGATCTTTGTAAGATCATAGTAGAAATCAGTTATGAGTTATGTTCCTTTTTTTATATATAAATGTATTATGTATTCCTTTTAAATTCGATGACAGGTATTAACAATATATATCTTTTAGAATATCAATATGAATTTTTGTTACTTTGCAATCCTATAACTTACCTGTCATTCATGCTGATGCATATAAATTTTGGTAAATTTTCGCTATTTGAGTGTTGACACGTACAGGATAATATCAGATATACTGACGTAAATTGTCGATGTTTCTTATCATCAAAGCTATCATGGCCCTTATTAATCGTTCAATGCAGTGTGGTTGACTCTTATTTGTTCTATAAACGAATGATTTTGAGTGGCTTTTAAACATTTCTGTCACATTTTATGTATTGTAGCGAATGAGTTAAAGAACATAACATCGAAACTTCCCTAGGTCTTTAATTGGAATTTCTAGATTTCCCAATACAAATCTATCTCTAGCTAGTTTCCAGCTTTTTTATAGCTCCAAATTTCAGGATTCAAATGGAAAAGCATCGAAGATTATGTTCAATCACGCAAATACGCACATACAATCGTACAAATAAAGTCATGTACGTAAAACGATTCAAACGTCATATTTTCCAGTTGATAATTAAGAACAGCTTGACCATAAATGTCTATTATAGACCTCTTTTGACGTACGAAAGAAATATAGTCAGAAAGACAAACATCTTTAAAGAATTGTAGTATTTCCTGCATCGTTCATGCATTGATATGGCATGAAAGATGTTTTCCAAATGCTTAAGAATAAATAAGTATTGGTAAATTGATATTTTCTTAGTGTTACCAGTACTTCATTAAAATTGGCAATCAAAATTCAGCTTACCTTGAGTCAGAGCAATTATAAATGAAAACAAACTGACACTCATTGTTAAATGAAATAGGCACATTCACGAATATCAATATTTCCGTGTTGCATCGTTTGTCCTTGTGATTTTTATATTTCCTTTTTTTTCATATATTGATCATTCAAGTGCATCCACTTTTGAATCAATAATTCCTAAATGCATTTTGTTAAATTGAAATAAAAAAACTGATTTGATTTCCTTCCGTATGTATTTTTTGCAACAATTAACCTGAAAATGTTTTTGATTTTCAAACTAACAACTGTAAAGGTGGTGTATGACTCTCTTGAATTATCTGAATTTTAGTCGTCTTATTCGTCTTCACCTTCTTTGCAGATCCTTCCAATTAGGAACACCAAGCAAAAAGTAACCTTTTCACTTTTACTATTTAATAATTGGTTAATATATACAGCAACAATTAAAATCTAAAGTAGTTGACGTTCCAAACTGTATATGCAAAAGAGACAATATCTGCAACAGTATCGTGAAAAGCAGGTGCAAGTAGAAACGTCAATACGATATCGCCAGTTTTTGAGCTAATTTGAAAAATTTAAGAGAGGGAAATTAACCCTTATAATGATTTTTTTACATTTCCAGTTTTAATTTGATAATGCTGACTCATCAAATTTTATTGTAGAGAGCGATTAAGAAAATCATAATCGGTCAATAAAAATCGTAAAGTTGAAGATAGAAAAACATTTTTGTCCAAAGAAAGAAAAAAGACGAAAAGACAAGCTAGATTTTAATGCTCTGCACAGAAAACAAATTTAAGGTAGCGAGACATGCACACGAGCAAATAATAGGGAATTACCTCAGATGCGCAGAAGGGTTAGTGCTTTGCATTCCATTAATGACATTTATTTAGTAACCTTTGATTTCAATATTTTGTTTTCATAAGTAATATGAAATTTATATTTTAGCAACATTTTAGTGCGCACAAAACATGTTTTCTGAAAAGTCTGAATATACTTGAGACCAAATTTTGATAGAGCTATATATTAAGTAAACACGTTTAAAAGTATCCTTAAACATCAACACTGGCGCAGGAAGTTTTGAACTACGTGTTGGCATGACTAAAGTGAATTTTTTTTAGCTATGTTTTTTAAGTCGTTTCTCATGTTCAAAGATACATAGGAGGTATTACTGTTATAACTGTATTGAAAATCAGTTGTGCGTTTTAAAATTGCAAGATTACAAACTGAAATAGGTAGGCAGTTATCCTACATACATGAAAAGTTTCACAAAGAATGTGATGAAGAGTTTGGGAAATAACTTTTTATTTCTTTTAAATCAAATTTTGGAAGTTAATGAAAAAATAGCATTGAAAAAGTGGATACAATAATGAAGGTATAAGGTTATGGGGAAGCTCTACTAAACGGTATGTCTTAAATCTTCAAAAGCATATGGCAATATTCTAGAAGATTTGATATGAATAACCAACCAATTACAAGCTGATGTTAACAGTTAACAGATAATCTACATAAAGACAAAGATAGTACGGAGGGGACATACATGAAGACAAAATGAAGAGATAGCGAAAAATAAAATTTGTCTGTGCGTTATGTGTGTAATCTTTTAATTACGTGTAATCTTTTGTTAAGCTAAACACTTTTGATATCAATATTTCATTAAGAATTGGTTATAATGCCAATATATAACTTTTATTTATCATGGTTTGCATGGGCAGCAGCCTATTTTGTCCAGTATGCAAACAGTTTACAATTTAAAAATGGAAACAACCTGTTTTAAAAGTGTGTAATAACAGAATCAAATCGGTAATAGGCAAAAAGACTTTTCTTCCTCAAAGTAGTCGTCAATTTAGGAATTAATCTGATCTTGACTACAATTAGTATTTAAACAATACAATTTTCACTTCTTCACATGCAAAAATACTGCAAAAAGAGACAAGTTAAACCTGTTTAGAGAATCAATTGGGTTTTTTTTTTTCATAAAGGTTTGTAATTTTAAAGGTATATGATTAACAATTGCTTCAGCCATTTGTTTTTGACTTGAGCGTTAAAAAACATTTCTGGCTATGTTTGAAAAGTTAAATGTGTTATCTAAGATTGACCGAATTGTCGAAATATTCACAGGCTGTAAATATAACCATGACTTCTCAATTTTTTTTAAATATGTTTTTACTACGCACCTAAACTAGCTTGGTTATTCCTATTGAGAACATTTGCTAACACACACACACCAATGTACCAAACAAGTGTTTCAGACTGGTTTTTCGGGTACCCTAAATCTGGTCGTTTTCGATATACCCTAATTATAAAATGCTATGGTGAAATTCAACAAGACTGTTTCAAATCATTTACGGATTCCAAAACATTCTATGGTGTAAATATCAGAATAGATTGAATAAGAGAAAAATGAAAGTGTGACCTAAGCCTAACCCCTTTCATATATCACACGATGCACGGTAAATTTTAACCTATACGCATTTTTTTGAGCCACTGCTTTGATACTGCTTTTCACTTAAATCGTTAATTAAGATGGTTTTCCTCCTTTCATTTCCATATAAGGAGGACGGGTCAGGAAGTACGAGTGGAATGGTTGTAATGTACTCAATTAACGGTAACCTTAACTTAGTACGTAAACAATCAAAACTAAAGGTAGATCATTGTGGTCTTCGACCTTTTTTAAAATTATGTACCAGACCATGTAAATGCAATTGGAATTTCAACATAAAATTATGTTAATAAACTTAGGATCACTTAAAATCGTAACAATGTCCTGTGTTCGCCGTCGTTTTCTCTGATCTCGTTGTCGGGGCAGATTTGATAGTTTTTTTTTCATGTTTTTATAGTGCAAAAAATACAAATCGGATCAGAATTGGCCTTTTTCCATGCAAAAGATACAAATAGTATCAGAATCCGGATAATCAGGACGCTTCCTTGACACTAGCTGAATAAATAAATGTTTGTGTTTTTTTTTAAATATCCAGCCACGAATCAAAGGTTTTTGATCCGACAGTTGACAAATTTTAATCGGGAATGGTCCAATTAAGGGCGGCAGTAAAAATCTTTATCTGTGAGTGTTTATGTACTTATATTAAAGAACTTTTTTATCTCAAATGACAGAAAATGCGTTAAGATTGACAATCATTTAATACAGCAACCCCGTGTTATGTAATCTCATTATATCTTCTAATTACTTTGATAAGGCGATATACGTGATTGTCTTGTATTTCGAACTTTGTTACAGAAATATTGAATTGATTTAAAACTCGTTAATCAGCAACCAGAACATACATTTCTACATTTTGAGCCGTATGCGGAACAGGATTGGCTAATCCTTCCGGAGCAACCGAGTTCATCCCCGGATTTTGATGGGATTCGTGTTTCTCAGTCTTTAGTTTTCTTTGTTGTGTTTTGTGTACTGTTTGTCTTTTCGTCGTTTTCGTTTTTTGCCATGGTATTGTCAGTCTGTTTTCGACTTATAAGTTTTAATATCCCTTTGGTATCTTTCGTCACTCTTTCTTTTTCCAAAACAAAGTCTAACAATGTTGCGCATACATATGTTCTGAATTGGAGTGGATGAATCGGTGGTCTGACACATAAAGCGCAATTACACACTTCGAACAGTCAACACATTATCTAAGGACAAACGCACATAAAGACAAAGATAAGAATTAATTAGTAAAAATATAGGGATCATAAAATAAAACCAACTGCAAAAACAATCCCAAGTCAACCTCGATGTTTACTTCATGACTGGATAACATTGGAAAATATTTTTATTTTCAATCTTGAGTGCCACTACCACCAATCAACATTTATGTTGTCTCATTAAATTGATTAAGATTGTGCTCAAATCATTTTGTTATTAACATCCCTCCCTCCCTCCCTCCATCTCTCCATTCTTCCATCCATTCATCCCTCCCTCCCTCCCCCCTTTCATCCCATCAATCCCTCCCTCCCTCCATCCCTCCCATCCATCCCTCCATCCATCCATCCATCCCAATCATCCCTCATTCCATCCATCCATCCATACATACATACACACATCTATCCTTACATACATACATAAATATAACACAATTTAGCACAAGTGAAATGTTCGATAAATATTGAAACTTCTAAAGGATATCAACTTTTTATATTTAGCCATTTGAGATGGCTTACAATTGGTTGTATAAGACTGTAATTTAGTTTAAGTTGACATCCCTACTTTATGTAGTCGAAATATAGAGTTAAGTTTGTTTGACAGTCTTTCATCATCTTGGATTGTAAAATAGAAGCCTTTATCTTTAATCAAGTCACCACATTTTGATGTAGGAATGCAATTTATCAAACAAATTTTCATTTGAAGGAACAAAATTAAGCATTTTTTACAATTACTAATATTGTTACAAAGGTAGAATATTTTTGATTGATTTCGTTTTTTTTTTCTCACTTAGTGTATTGCGAGGAAGTAATTTAGAACTTGTAATATTTATACAGGAATTTACGGGACATTTTTCAATTTAATGTTATAGCAGGAAAAAACGTATGGTGACCCCATTTTCAATTTTGATATTCTGAAAGCATCTTATATGAGCTCCCTTCTCATACTTTATTACAAAATTCTATCATTTAGTTTACCTTCTATTCCAAGAATGATGCATTTTTTCACTATATAATCCATACACGATGTTTCATTATTTTACAACATGTGGCTTCAAAACAAGCTCGGTGGCCTATCATTTTTATTTTATTTTTTAAAATATCATAATATATACTATGTTTTGGCAAAATATGAAAAGATTACTGAAAATAATTTTCCATTGATACGCTGATACTACCATAAGAATCATATTGATGGGATGCAGAAAAAATAAGCTGATGTCAAAATATGAAAATATATATATAACTATTCCCAAAAGGTTTATTGGGATATTTACAGTATGTATATGATAAAAACCATGGAAGTATACCTATATGCATTAGAATATTGACAACAATTTCATGTTACTCGAATGTCTGCCAATGGTTTACTGATGACAGTATGAAGCTAGCCCATTAAACACACGTAGTAATGCTAGTACATTGACTCGAAGTTTATATGGTTAATGGAACCATATTTCAAATACTCTTTTGACACTCACGTCCGTCCAAAATGCAAAAATACTCATATCTAAATCTCGATAACTCCACGCAACATTTTTCCTGTACTTGATATCTGTAAATATAACCATGACTTCTCAAATTTTTTTTAAATATGTTTTTACTACGCACCTAAACTAGCTTGGTTATTCCTATTGAGAACATTTGCTAACACACACACCAATGTACCAAACAAGTGTTTCAGACTGGTTTTTTCGGTACCCTAAATCTGGTCGTTTTCGATATACCCTAATTATAAAATGCTATGGTGAAATTCAACAAGTCTGTTTCAAATCATTTACGGATTCCAAAACATTCTATGGTGTAAATATCAGAATAGATTGAATAAGAGAAAAATGAAAGTGTGACCTAAGCCTAATCATTTTCATATATCACACGATGCACGGTAAATTTTAACCTATACGCATTTGATTGAGCCACTGCTTTGATACTGCTTTTCACTTAAATCGTTAATTAAGATGGTTTTCCTCCTTTCATTTCCATATAAGGAGGAAGGGTCAGGAAGTACGAGTGGAATGGTTGTAATGTACTCAATTAACGGTAACCTTAACTTAGTACGTAAACAATCAAAACTAAAGGTAGATCATTGTGGTCTTCGACCTTTTTTAAAATTATGTACCAGGCCATGTAAATGTAATTGGAATTTCAACATAAAATTATGTTAATAAACTTAGGATCACTTAAAATCGTAACAATGCCCTGTGTCGGTTCGCCGTCGTTTTCTATGATCTCGTTGTCGGGGCAGATTTGATAGTTTTTTTTCATGTTTTTATAGTGCAAAAAATACAAATCGGATCAGAATTGGCCTTTTTCCATGCAAAAGATACAAATTGTATCAGAATCCGGATAATCAGGACGCTTCCTTGACACTAGCTGAATAAATAAATGTTTGTTTTTTTTATAAATATCCAGCCACGAATCAAAGGTTTTTGATCCGACAGTTGACAAATTTTAATCGGGAATGGTCCAATTAAGGGTGGCAGTAAAAATCTTTATCTGTGAGTGTAAATGTACTTATATTGAAGAATCTTTTATCCAAAATGACAAAAAATGCGTTTAGATTGACAATCATTTAATGCAGCAACCCCGTGTAATGTAATCTCATTATATCTTCTAATTACTTTGATAAGGCGATATACGTGATTGTCTTGTATTTCGAACTTTGTTACAGAAATATTGAATTGATTTAAAACTCGTTAATCAGCAACCAGAACATACATTTCTACATTTTGAGCCGTATGCGGAACAGGATCGGCTAACCCTTCCGGAGCAACCGAGTTCATCCCCGGATTTTGATGGGATTCGTGTTTCTCAGTCTTTAGTTTTCTTTGTTGTGTTTTGTGTACTGTTTGTCTTTTCGTCGTTTTCGTTTTTTGCCATGGTATTGTCAGTCTGTTTTCGACTTATAAGTTTTAATATCCTTTTGGTATCTTTCGTCTCTCTTTCTTTTTCCAAAACAAAGTCTAACAATGTTGCGCATACATATGTTCTGAATTGGAGTGGATGAATCGGTGGTCTGACACATAAAGCGCAATTACACACCTCGAACAGTCAACACATTATATAAGGACAAACGCACATAAAGACAAAGATGAGAATTAATTAGTACAAATATAGGGATCATAAAATAAAACCAACTGCAAAAACAATCCCAAGTCAACCTCGATGTTTACTTCATCACTGGATAACATTGGAAAATATTTTTATTTTCAATCTTGAGTGCCACTACCACCAATCAACATTTATGTTGTCTCATTAAATTGATTAAGATTGTGCTCAAATCATTTTGATATTAACATCCATCCATCCATCTATTCATCATCCCTCCCTCCCTCCCTCCCTCAATCCATTCATCCATCCATCCATCCATTCATCCATCCCTCCCTCCCTCCCTCCTTTCATCCCATCCATCCCTCCCTCCCTCTATCCCTCCCATCCATCCCTCCATCCATCCATCCATCCCATTCATCCCTCCATCCATCCATCCATCCATACATACATACACACATCCATCCTTACATACATACATAAATATAACACAATTTAGCACAAGTGAAATGTTCGATAAATATTGAAACTTCTAAAGGATATCAACTTTTTATATTTAGCCATTTGAGATGGCTTACAATTGGTTCTATAAGACTGTTATTTAGTTTAAGTTGACATCCCTACTTTATGTAATCGAAATATAGAGTTAAGTTTGTTTGACAGTCTTTCATCATCTTGGATTGTAAAATAGAAGCCTTTATCTTAAATCAAGTCACCACATTTTGATGTAGGAATGCAATTTATCAAACAAATTTTCATTTGAAGGAACAAAATTAAGCATTTTTTACAATTACTAATATTGTTACAAAGGTAGAATATTTTTGATTGATTTCATTTTTTTTCTCACTTAGTGTATTGCGAGGAAGTAATTTAGAACTTGTAATATTTATACAGGAATTTACGGGACATTTTTCAATTTAATGTTATAGCAGGAAAAACCGTACATTGACCCCATTTTCACTTTTGATATTCTGAAAGCATCTTATATGAGCTCTCTTCTCATACTTTATTACAAAATTCTATCATTTAGTTTACCTTCTATTCCAAGAATGATGCATTTTTTCTTCTATATAATCCATACACGATGTTTCATTATTTTACAACATGTGGCTTCAAAACAAGCTCGGTGGCCTATCATCTTTATTTAATTTTGAAAATATCATAATATATACTATGTTTTGGCAAAATATGAAAAGATTACTGAAAATAATTTTCCGTTGATACGCTCATACTACCATAAGAACCATATCGATGGGATGCAGAAAAAATTAGCTGATGTCAAAATATGAAAATATATATATAACTATTCCCAAAAGGTTTATTGGGATATTTACAGTATGTATATGATAAAAACCATGGAAGTATACCTACTGTGGATTCATTATTATTCGTTGGATACCAATTTTCGTGGATTTCGTGGTTATAGGTTAACCACGAAATTATATGTTCAACGAATGGCAAATTTACTATAGGCTTGTATGCAGACATTGTCAAAAACCACGAAATTAGATATCCACGAACATGTAAGTTTTCCTTAATCCACGAAAATTGGTACCCACGAAAATAAATGAATCCACAGTATATGCATTAGAATATTGACAACAATTTCATGTTACTCGAATGCCTGCCAATTGTTTACTGATGACAGTATGTAGCTAGCCCATTAAACACACGTAGTAATGCTAGTACATTGACTCGAAGTTTATATGGTTAATGGAACCATATTTCAAATACTCTTTTGACACTCACTTCCGTCCAAAATGCAAAAATACTCATATCTAAATCTTGATAACTCCACGCAACATTTTTCCTGTACTTGATATCTTGATAATTCCTGAATAGAAAACAAATAAGAGTGATTGGTTGAAAAAACTTTTACAAATGATATATTCAAAGATATATATAGACATTTAGGCTTGATATATTGTTAACAACGACATTAGAAGGGTAATGTCAAAGATGACTTGACATTTAAAAGTACATGTTTTGTAGATAAATATTAGCATGTGCTGAAATGGCTGGTAATTCAGTGGTTGTCGTTTGTTGATGTACATCATATTTGATTTTCGTTTGTTGTGTGTATATAAATCAGGCCGTTTGTTTCCTCATTTGAATAGTTTTATACTTGTCATTTCGGGGCCGTTTGGACAGTTGAAGCTAGCTAACACATAGCCAACATTATTTGCCAAGCTCGATATTTTTCTCTATTGTGTATATACAGATAAACTTTGCAGATGGAAACGTTGTTTTCTATAATAAACAGATCTTGAAGTATTTTGTCTTAAAAATTACCAAAATTAGCAATTTTGGACATTTAGCCTAATCAAACGAATTGGAACAGTTTGATGATGCATACGCTATATAGACAGACTAGGTAATTATAAGCATTCTTACACCAACTATTAATATTTCATTAGCATTGCTATATTTTTTTTAAAATACCAGCGAAATATGCCCTAAAAAAGGCTTATTTGTTGCTCTTTTCGAGCGAATTCATCTGTGAAAAGATGGTGCCTAATAAACTCAAAACCTTTCAATATTTTCAAAAACTTTTTGTGTTGTTACTTATTTTACTAAGGTGCATCAATTGCCAAATATGAACTCATTTGGTAAAAGTGACATTCGTATGGTTTCTGGCAGATTGGCTTTAAAAGCTTACAGGTGGTAGTGTACATTTAGAATCAGCTTTAACCTTTCATCAGAACGGTCAGAATAATTTATGATATAATTCTTGTTAACTGTTCTAGAACGGTCAGAATGTGTTCGAGGGTAGAACTCTTTATACCTGTTTTAGGGCAGAACTATTAAAATAAGTTCGTGTAGAATAGTTCTAAGATACTTAGATAAGAGCAGCTCTCTGATCATGGTTAAGAACAGTACAGTTTTTTAGACTCTGTAGGAGTTAATAACAGGAAAAGGATTAAATAGTAAAAATAAAAATTCACTCTTGGATGTATGTTGGTTTCGTTATTTCACAATGTTTAACTCATTTAAATTAAAACATCATTTCGTATATTTACTTGTAAAAACTATTGTTTAAACAGTATGAAAAAATGTTTTCAATGTTACATTAATCATTGTCAATAATAATAATATGAATGTCTTTGGAAAGACAATGCTACAGTTTGAGGAGCACTTTAGAGTGTTTATGACAGGTAAATGTTTTTGATTTCACAGTGAATAATTTTCTCGAAAAGTGTTTAAATATGCTTGAATTGACATCAATTAACAGCATGACATTACACAATCTTAATATGTAATGATTCGTATTTGGTTTGGTGTTATTGTGTTAACAACAATTCATCAAGCTAATATGTACTATTATTTGTCTGTTTGTCTTTTTATTTTTGGCCATGGCGTTGTCAGTTTGTTTTCGATCTATGAGTTTGACTGTCCCTCTGGTATCTTTCGTCCCTCTTCTTTAATAAACAAACAAAACATGTATTTAAAACGAATAATAATTTAAGAAAAATTAAAAATTCTAAAACTCTCAGATCTGTACTTAGTGTCTTTTTGTTGTTGGGATTTTTTTTTACTATTTTAATGTTTCTTTGCATAGACTCCACAACGGCTGCTTTCAGGGCCTGGGTGATCAGCTGGGCAGCCCGCTAACCACGACGATGTGTTGTTGGTAGATGAATCATTGACTCCGTAATAGATGACTGCAAATTGCACTAATACTACGATACAGCTAGCCCTCGGATGTCTGGGCAGCATATGACACTCACCCATCCACAATGGGTTTCAGAGTGTCGCTGACGCGGGTTTACTGTACGGGAGCCTCATACACTAGTTTGTCGTTGAGCAGCGTAACATGTTGTAGCTAACGGATAATCAAGAACTGATCCAGCACGTCCTTTCAGCTGTAAGGACTGAGACGTGACAGGATTGATTACGGAATCCTTGACTATTATAATGATCATTTGTTGAAAAATATTTAACGACCACAAGATGACTTTGAATTGGTGTCATGTGATTGCTGACAAATTGACATATACCTTTCATGGTCACTATTCATATTATCGCAATTCTGAGAAATATTTATCAATCAAATGGATCGTTCAATCATACTAGTCAATATCCACTAGGTGGATTGCATAATTAAGGAATAGTAGCGAGACCGTTTGAGGGAAGACTATTTGAATACTAAATTCTTATGGACCTAAACAGAACAGCTAAAGTCTTCTATGGTCAATTTTGTCTGAGGAATTGTAACCTAAATACAACAACATAACATGTATACTAAAGTAATACTAGAGATTTCTTACATTTTGACGAAAGGTACAAACGAACATAAAGGGAGCATGTATTACATTCCCACAATAACACTGAGGGTCTATGTTTTATCCGGTAAAACAACATTCTTTTTTTTTATGAAATGCATCTTTAAAAATTTAACATATCGCAAATAAATCATGAAAATAAAGAAAATTGTCTAAAACACACTAACGTCCGAAACGTTGCTTATGTTAGCCACGATTACACAATTTTGCGCGGGAAATATTCAAGCATGCTTTTTTTTAAATGTTTAAAGCATTAACATTTTAATGACATTATTGCAGTATGGTACTCTAAATTCAACGACAAAATTGTATTTATTAATGAGAATGCTGTTAACAAATTGTCAACGTGCATCATCAAGATTTGCAAGACAAAGAAACTATAATGAAGGGAAAAAATTATGACAAAAAATATGGGAGAAGAAGAAAAAAAACACCTTTTTTCATTTAATAAAAGGTTAAAGGTTAAACAGAAAATATTGCGACACTTGCGATCGCATGAAATAAGTGTAAAACGGAATAAAAACTATAGCCCCCCCCCCCCCCCCGAAAGTTAAAATTATTTTTTTAAGTCTGTTGTCAACTAGTTATATCTTCAGTTAATATGGATAAACCATCTCTGGCTTAATTGTGCATATAATAGACCAATGCAAGAAAAGGAGGCTAGGAAAATGTCTGCCGAGTAAAGACACATCAGGTGCACCACACTCCCAAATCCGCCCTTGAGTTCTGATTATAGATCAACTAATTATGGATCTGGTTTTGTTCATTTACATGTATTACACATTTGAACATCTATATGATTAAGCTAGGCCCGTAATATATATAAGGGTGTCATTTTTTTTCAATTTTTCTATTTTTGGAGGGTTAAGCACAAATTTTTCAGGGATATTTTTCACCCGACCAAAGAGCAAAACACAACACAGGGCCACCAATGGGTCTTCAACACAGCAAGAAAATCCCGGAGGCGGGCTTCAGCTGGCCCCTAAACAAATGTGTGTACTAGTTCAGTGATAATGAACGTCACACTATACTCCAAAACATATAACTGAACTTAAATTTAAAAAAACATACAAGACTAACAAAGGCCAGAGGCTCCTGACTTGGGACAGGCACAAAAATGCGGCGGGATTAAAAATGTTTTGTGAGACCTCAACCCTCCCCCATAATTCTAGCCAATGTAGAATAAACAAACAAACACCAATACGCACAGTAAAACTCAGTTTAGAATAAGTCCGAGTCCGATGTCAGAATAGGTAACAGAAAAAACTAAGTAAAATGACAACGATACATAAATTAACAAAGGCCTATTAGCAGTTACTGACATGCCAGCTCCAGACCTCAATTAAACTGATTGAAAGATTATGTCTTCATCATGTGAAAATCAAGCACAATCCCTCCCGTTAGGGGTTTAGTATCATACCATCATAAAATATATGTGAAGAACATAACCCGTATCATACCAACAACTGGTTTTAAAATAAATGTGTTTATTTCCAATGCAAAGACCCTATGAGTGAATCAATATTAATTCCAAAATATGCCATCTTCAATGACCTGACAACAGAATCGTAGCTATATCCCTTCTGAATAAGTCTGTTTAAAGGTTTGGTTAGCTTTTGAGGTGAATGACGAAATTTTGTGCCTTGTATAGAATATTACCATAAAAGATTGGATGTGAAATACCTGCACGTATAAGATGTCTGCATGTTGATTTATATTTACGAATGATGTCCTTGTACCGATGATCAATTTAGCAAATCTTTTGACTAGTTTGTGATATCGAAAACCCTGGTGTAATAATTTTTCAGTAATACAGAGCTTTCTTTCGTTAAAATCAAATACGTTGTTACATACACGATTGAGATATATAATCACCATAATATGGTGACACGGGAATGTCACTATCTAAAAATGGATAATTAACAATAGGAAATGAAAATTCATCTCTTTTATCGTAAATTTTGGTATTTAGCTTCCCGTTAATGATATATATATCAAGATCCAGGAAATGGCAGTGTTCATTGTTAGTATTAGCTTTATTTAAAGTCAGTTCAACAGGATAAATCTCTTTAGTGTACATACTGAAGTTGTCATTATTGAGAGCCAATATATCATGCAAATATCTAAAAGTGTTATTAAATTTTTGTATCAGATGTTGTTTCGATGGGTCTTTGCTGATTTTTATAATAAATTGTAACTCATAACAATACAGAAACAGGTCCGCAATAAGTAGTGCACAGTTAGTCTCCATTGAAATTCCGATAACTTGACGATATACGGGAACTCCATAGCGAACAAAAATGTTATCTAGTAAACATTCAAGTGCAGTTATCGTATCAAAGCAGGTCCAATTGACATAGTTCTTTTGTTTGTTGTTACTAAAAAATGACCTAAAAGAGTTTGAACATATATATTCGCATTCTGACTTTTTAAATGCCCATTTAATTGGGTGTGTGAATTTTTTCTTAATGAGATTATGAGTCAAAGTGGTATATTGGGTAGAAAAATCAAAACTTTGAACAGATTCGAAATCACCAATTTAAGCATGCAATTTATCAAGTACTTCCAACGAATTTTTGAAAATGGAGTCAGTTGGAATGTTGGTGACTTCGTGATTTCCTTTTGCAGAACCTCAATGTAAAATTTACGTCAAACAATAATGATATTATTGGCAGCCTTATCAGCCGTGACAAAAACAAATTCATTGGCGAGTTCTTTTAGCTTATGTTTGATATGAGAAATAGGGTTATTACGGTTCTGTTTAGGAGTACACTGTTCTTTAACATGTTTAATACGAATATCAACTATGTTCATTACTGAATTAAAAAAAGAATCTAAGGATTTTTTGTCAGCTTTTTCTCGTTTTATCCTTTTCGTGCAGTAAGTACGGAGTGAGTCGTGGATGATGTTACGACACTCATTCCAATAAATAATTGACGGGGGACGATATTTAGGTCCTTTACTGAGGAATAATTTCAACTCTCGGTCATGGACGATGTTAAGGTCTCCTGTTATAATATGGGAACTGGGGCCATAAATGTATTCGGAATTACTACAATTTCATGACGTAGGAGTATTGTCACTGATATTAACATTTTTACACACTTCGCTATAATTAAACACATATTCCCGGGTAGATTTTTTGTAAACTTAACAAATAAGAGGGAGCTCAGTATTATCAAAATAGCCAGGAATTTGTTCTTTAACGGAATGATCATTAAAAATACCGGCAATATTTACAAAATCAAAACCTTTATTGACATATTTAATTTTAATAAAACTGTTTTTATGATCTTCAGGGCGATCAATTTTGGGAAACAGTTTAGAATAACAATATGCAATTATAATTTGGACGATTTCATACTTTGGACTGCAATATGGAATTGTGTTGCAATCCTCTAAATTTTATGTAATTTATTAACAGGTAAAGAACAGAGCTTGGTTAACAGATAATGTCTGTCGTTGTTTTTTGAAATAGTAATTAGGTTCGAAATATTTGTATTGTTAGTACGAAATTTTCTCTGATTGCGATTTATTTTATGCCCCTGAGAACGGTTTTTACGAACAGTTTTAGAAACTATATCCAAAATGTTAACAGAATCGGTTCTTGATATATTACCAATTCCCATGATATAATCATTAAGATCGACAGGATAGACTGTCTGTAATTTTTTAGTCCAATTTAATTCAATTATTTTCCGTGATCGTACAAACTTTTAATGAGATTCCACAGGCTGCTTATTTACTACTTCTAAAGATTGAACTGTTAAATATTTAATGGAATGATTGTGCTTCTTAAAGTGTTGGTAAATGATATTTTTAAATTTATGGGGTATTCTAAAACGATAGAGGTGTTCGTGCGTGCGTTTAGATAAATAGCGTCCGGTTTCACCTACGTACTGAATACCGCATCCCGGTTTGTTTCATGTGAGTAAATAGATCATACTGTTAGTTTTTCAATTTATATCAGTTTCAAAATTGAAGGAAAATGTGCTACCTTTAAACATGGACCTTATCGTATTGTTGGTGGAAAGATAAGCGATTTTTAAGTTTAAGACATGTAGATAATCTTTGAACGATTTTGGTATTTAGTATTTTTCCATTTCTGAGTTTCATTTTTGACATATGTTGTTTCATGCAGTGTTATGGGTGCTATAAACAGTTTCGTATACAAAAAACTAGGGGTTATTCCACGACTAAAATAGCCATGGAGGGAAAATAATTAAAATAATTTTAAAAATTAGATTAAATGTACATGTTTTAAGGGGAGACAACACTGTAAACTTCCTGTTTTTTTGGTAGTGAAAATTGAAAACTTATTTGTAGTTACTGTAGCTCTTTCCGAAGCAGGAGAACGTACCCTGAAGCGAGAATTTTGAAAAGACCAGGTGAAAACCTATGAAATTCATACAGTTCTGATTATCTGAAATGTGCCTGTATCATGTCTACATGGGTATACACATGACATGATTTCAGGTTTTTCATGATGAGTGGTTGGGCATTTTTTTTTTTTTTTTTTTTCATTTTCTCTGGATAGAACTTTTTTATTATGTTAAAATTACACTTTATTTTTATTGCACTATAAACTACAGAAAATTCTGATTCCAGTCATATCTAGTTTTAAACAATTATCTTTATTAACAATACCACCACTAAGAGTCACTTATGCATGGTCCCTCAAAATATGACGTCATAGAAAAAAACTAACTGTTGATTGCACCCAATGGTCCTTGATGTGCAGACATAGAGGCGAAACGCCATCTAAGTCCCAGGACAGCCTTGATTATTATTACATAACAAGAATTCAAAAGTCAAAATAAAGGACCCATCAGACGGGTCTTTCGTATGATTCGTCAATCGTACGTATCTTTCGTCAAACTTGTAAGAAAGCGCTATTACAATACTGGAGCACGTGGCATTATAATATACCCGTTTGGTCTTTCAGCAGCGGAATTGACAAAGTGGCACTAATATGCACCTATTGACTGGTTATGAGGGTAATAGCAAGTTTGTTGTCCCTGAGATACCAACTATTGCTCCAGGCAAAGCCGAGGACAATAGTTAGTATCAAAGGGACAACAAACTTGCTATTACACTCATAACCAGTCATTAAGTGTTTTATTATACCGAACAAAACAACTTTCTAAATAGTCTACATACACCACCTGAAAACAAATAGTCACATAAACATGCACAAGACGAACTATCAGGGTTTTTTTTTTTTTTTGCCCGTATGTTATTTGTAAATGTTTTATTTACTGTAACCAAGGCCATGAATCCTTCTGTAAAAACTCCTGAGCATATTTTAAAAGCTAGCTAAAATATATTATCGTATACCAAAGCAATGATCATGAAGACGACGATAGACCCATACCATACATATGTTATGTTTTAATTCTTAGAATGTGTCGCGTAGATTTTCTTTTTCATTTTTAATTGCTTTTAGTTAGTAATATATTAATTCGAAATTACGACGACAGACACCATCATACCGTTTACGATATTTCAGAGTCTAACATTGCCAAGAGCACAAATCAAAGCAGAATAGTCAATGACGTTATTGTTGTCCAATGACAAATAAGTATAAAAACGTACGGGAAGTATGTTGATAAAACTATTCATCAGGGTAATAGTCTTTGAAACTATTGACTGCACAATATTCTGTGGAATGAAATAGCACAAATATTTCATTCTTTTTTATATAGAAAAAACATACTAAGGTATAATAACAATACCTATTTTACTTTGCAAAACACTTTTCCGAAATATCATTTAAAAAATCATAAGCTACTTAATTTAACTGCTAGGCCTTTTCCTCCTAAACAATGGGGGAAAAGGCTTAAAATAAGATGTGCAGGTAAAATTCGTGATTTAACAATATCTAAGAGAGAGTTGTACATCAGCTTTGAAAAGTATTATACTAGTAGTATGAAATGATAATAAGTTAAATTGTCTTTTTGATAATCATATAGTTTGCGGCCCTTGGATGTTCTTTATGTAACAGAATTAAAAAAATCATTCATAAGTATTTTTAGAATTTGACTTTTAACATTGCAAATCAAAGGCAAACTATCACTGTCGCCTATTTTACACCTTGCGAGTCCCGAACAACAAATGTATTTGCAAGCGGAATCATTGATTTGTTCCAACAGCAAAGATTAAAATAGCATTTCGGTTTCATGAATGAATCTTGTAAAGTGAACTGTACTTATGTTGAAAAGTAGAAAGATCCAACGGGGGCAAGTATATATGATAGAATTATCATGAAATCATTTGAACTGATGAAATTTTGGATTTACCTCACTTAGTTGATCCTTTTCACGTGTATTTACCATTTCAAATGTCAATTGGATCGATCATTGGATCTAAAGCATGGTCATCATGGCCATTTGCTTGTTGGCCTAAGAACGAAAATGAATACAGTTTTACCCAAATCAATCAAGATGTTATTGTATAACGGTATTACCATGGTAGCTTCTTATAACTACAACTGAGACATTGATTTTGGTACATGCATGTTCAGTGAAAGAAGTTTGCTCTACTTGAATGTTGTCTTTAATACTTAACCATTCAAATCCAATGCCAATACCAAATGCAGTAGATAACATGACTAAAAACTTTGAAAACGATGTAATTGAAAATCTTAAGTTAAAGCATAATGACATATTTGGTTTTTGGTCTTGTCATATTTTGTTTTTACTCTGATAAGAATGCAAGATACTAACATGTTTTACACTAAATCATTGATACATTCTCTCTATTAATAAATGATCCTACATCCCCGTCATTTTGTCTCCGGTACTTAGTTGTCTCCTTGGCAATCAGATAGTGTACCACATATCATTATTCTTATTCAAATTAATGTAAATATATATGTACTGATACTAGAATATTTGAATTTCTATATACCGCATCGGTGGTCTCGTGGTATTGCGCTCTACACAAACAAATTAAGTTCTGGCAGAGACCGTAATGAGGCTATTTATTTAAATGGACAATTGTTCAAGATCTGCAAAATTTCATCTAGGTGAAAGGAGGGTGTGGAAAGTAGGAATGACTTGAGAGGAGAAAATGTTTCAGTTAATAATGCATAGCAGTAGACAAGGTTGCAATAATGAAATCACACGCATTACAAAAGGAGTGAGACCGGATGAGTCGACAGGATGACCTGTTCCTGGTATGCATGCATCACAAAGCCATGCTAATATACACTCAGCTAAAATGTCACAACATGGAATACGACACAATCGGTACATTACAGATAAGATGACTATACTGGAATCTACAGATTAATGACAGGGAAACCTGTCGTTAGTGAACTGAGACACAGACAAATTGTATCGGTCGATCAATTCGTGGTCTGTTAATCTTATGTGCACGTATCGATTTAAGTAGTTTTTTTCTTATAACACTGTTTTTGGCATTTTTCTATCAGGAGCACACTACTGTTAATGCAGTCCGCATGATGTGATCAAGAACGAGCGTAAAGTATCAATTCAGATATTTAAATGCAAAACAATGGGCAGAGGGTATGTTATAACGAAACGTGAATATAAACGTTAATACTAGCTTCTGATCGACCTTCGATAGAAGAACATGCATGAAATCTGCCTCATGAGAATAAAGAACATGTCAGCAAGAAGAGAAACACAATTGTTGCAAACTAGTCCTCCAAACGGACAAATTTGTCATCAATAACAAATAATCATGAAGCTTGATCATTTCAATTTCAGAGAACAAGTTGTTTGAAGCATATCAATTTTTGGATAAAGTATGATTTACCCAAGATATTTTTACCTGCGATGGGCATATTTTTGTTAAAAAATAATGTTGTCTCGTTCCCTATTAGTTTGTATAAGTATCAAGTGCATCCACCAAAGAATATTTTAATTACCTGGGGCGTTTTCTGAGTTCACTGTCACTATTCTTTGTTCAACTGAAATAAAACAATATTTATACATAATTGTAAGTAAGATTGTATTGAATCCCCTGCAAATGTATGACTTATAAACATTATTTTTAAATCTAGAAGTGTATATACGTTTAGTAAAAAAGTACGATTCACATAAACATGTTCGATTTCTCAGAAAAACGTTCAATAACAAATGGCAAACTACGTATTAATTGTTTACTATAAAGTTTACAATGCAAGATCTATTAATCAAGTTTAATTTTATGGACCACATGCTTATTTCGATAAAAGGTTAAAGCAAAATGCATGTTCCTTTTCAGAATTGATCCAATCTAAGTTGAAACTCACAGTTGTGTTCCATCTTGTGTGTACGTTGAGTTCCTAACACAACATGATGTTGTTTTCCTACATGTAAACATAGTATTGAAATATAAACGCCTAAGGATGACTCAAAACTACAGTTTTTGAATGGCCATATCTCACTCTAGAAAGTACGGTTCATTAAGTTTTGAGCATTTACGCCGTATCAGGGCAGACAATTATACTCTAAAGTCAACATATTTTATCAGTTATTCCTTGTTGTATTAAAGTAAAATGAAAAAACAAGTGAAAAAGGAAAACATTCTTTAATCTAACGTTTAATTTATATAAATTACTGTTTTTTATTTCATATTCCAAGATTTTGTTTGATGACAACTATACGTCTGAAGCAATTGTACGAATTGAACGTGAAGTTTTGCGCCACGAATATCTATTCCGTCAGGCAAATAATCTTTTTCATTCAAAACCCAATGCATATAGAAACATTTACTAAGATTATACTAATGTGAAATTATACATAGTTTCTTTATTTTAATATTTTCTGCTTTTTCATTGAAGCATCAGTATTTATTTTGCATTTTGATAATATTGTTATCTGTTTAACATGTATGAGGCAAAATTGCATTCAAAATATATCATATCATTATCTCTTACTTAGATAGTATATTACTTTTCTTGTGATAATCTACCATAACTTACTTAATTCAAGACATATGTTTGCACCTGTCCTATGTCAGGTACCTGATGTTCAGTGGTTGTCGTTTGTTGATGTGGTTCATAAGTGTTTCTCTTTTCTCGTTTTTTTATACAGATTAGACCGTTGGTTTTTCCGTTTGAATGGTTTTACACTAGTCATTTTTGGGGCCCTTTATATCTTGCTGTTCGATGTGAGCCAAGGCTCCGTGTTGAAGACCGTACTTTGACCTATAATGGTTTACTTTTACAAATTGTGACTTGGATGGAGAGTTGTCTCATTGGCACTCATACTACATCTTCTTAAAACTATATATGAATTGAAGCAAATGTTGTGTATACGTCAATGAGACAGTAACACAACGACAAAAAATACCAAAATATATCTAGAATATATTTATAGTATCAACAGGTTTATGTATGGCTGTACGTTAAATTTGCTTAAAATATATCTGTGTTTAGGTTAATACCGAATATTTTCCTGTAATTGATATCATCAGAGATTCATAGTTTTTATTGGATATTATTTATCAAGAAAATATGTTTGAAATGTTCTTCTTTTATATATCTTTGAACTGTTAACAAAAGTTACGTTTATCACTATTAATTTAAACGTTATATCCTCCTAGTAGCAATGAAAAGCAAGTTACAATTTTTCCTTGATATTTTGTGGATAAAATGATACCAGCAACCGTCACTTATGAATCTATCCACGCAATGATTGGAACATTTACTTAATTTTAACATTTGTGCCCCAATGTTCTATTCTGTAGAACGAAGAGCATGTGTCTAATGATAAAATATATCGTCATGCTCTATGTTAATTCGAACAATGTTCTTTTACAATGTATCTCTAAATCTGAACTTATAAAATATGAACGTCCATTGAAATCAACATATACTATATTGAATAGTAAGTATTGAGTCTGTTTTCAAAAATTCATAAGCCCGTTATATCTGTGTTTAAAAAAAAATTGAACTCTTAATTAACCTTGGATATTGAAATATTTTTTCACCAGAAGTCGTCAAGTTTATCCATATTTATGACACTTTAAATCAATGAAGTAATGTCCCTGCACGCGTTACTCCCATGACGCTTCAAAAACAGTATATCCCTGTCTAAATTGGATCAAACAGAAAGGAGCTCTTACAAATAAATTCATCAGCGATTCCAGACCCTCGAATCAAAAAAAGTAAAAAAAGGAAAAATAAAGTAAGAAGTTGAAGAGCATACAGCTTAGGTAATCTATTCATATAGTGGAAATTCCTTAGTTTTCGACAAATTCAAAGTTTTGAAACAAGTGAAATAAAATATTCATCTAAAGAAGGCAGCTGTATGCCATATTTACGTTATTCGTCCGTATTTTTTCTTACATTATCGAAAGAATTGTCCATTGATCTCGGTATTGTTGCCATTTATTCAACATTTAAATCCCTCTTATGTACTAATTTAATGGTAATCTTAGGAAATTTATTCAAATTATATCATATTATGCATTTACCTGCAAGATTAAGAAACAAAGGTGTACTAAGGCTTGCAAACACTATTCCAATTATTGGTAACACTATCCGGACTATAAAATTACAATAAACAAAACAAAAGCATTATAGTAAACAGATATTTTTATATACAATATGCACTAATTATAATGCTACTCTTATCTCTTGAAAGTCAAGTTGTGCTGTATGAATAGTATATGCATAATGTGTATATGTGTAAACGAACCATTATTTGTCATAGAAGGTCAACGTATCCTAATATCTCTATAAACAAAGTGTACTCATACCCTCAGCGGGTCTTTGACATCAATGAGAATTCAATTTGTCCGCTATCCAACAGTATTTATACTGGTAACATTCCCACGTTGTGTCGCTATGATATGAAACATGGAGATTACATATCTGGGAACCGGAAGTTAAACAAAACATAATATCTATGAATATAAAAATATCTCCCCAAAAGAGGCGTGGTTTGTGAATAAGCTGTATTTACCAAGTGTAACCTTAAGATATGATTGCATACTTCAACTATATACAGTGACGACAGGAAACCACATGCATATGATGGACGCTAACTTCTTGAGTCTTTAGAAAAAGTCATTCGATTTCAGAAATTGTTTTTTGAAAGAAATTAAATGTTATTGATTAAGCATATAGTTCAACTATTTCGTCGACCTTTAAACAGGAAAAAATTGATTAATTGTACATTTTAATGTTTGTACTGACCAAATAGACAATTGACATATTTTAATCATCCAGCTTCGAAAATCATATACTTTAATTCCTATTATACGTACATATACACGTAGCATCATCGAAATACCCACATAATGTGCATATTCCGAGAAATAGACAGGAACATGTTATAAAACTCACAGTCTTCAAACCTGAAACGAGAATTGTTTTGAATGTTTAAAAACGCACGACTGAGCTGACGGATATAAAAATATTTTGAGATAATTCCACCAATAGTGGCATAAAGGGAAATACCTCAGATTGATAGCAAGACGGGCTTATTCTGTCGACTCATCTTTATCCAACTGCGATTGGAAATCATATCATTTTTATTGTCGTTATTACTTATTCCTCGATAACATTTTAACGGACGTCGATATGTCATCTCTTACAACTTCGGCAATCTTTTTCTTCTTTTCACCTTTAATCAATAAAAATGCAAGACATGATAATTTACATTATAACAATCAAATCGTGTAAGTCAGCCATTGAAACAATCATTTTGCATTTGGAATTCAGGTCACCCTAAGGTGAAGTCTCTGCAGCTGGGCATTTGACCTAATCATTATTGAATTGACTTATCTAGAAAAAGTTTGAACAGATGTTGAAAGAAATTGTAATTAAAGTCGTCGGTCGCGCTTAAATTGTTAACAAATGTTTGTTTAAAGGGCTGCTGCTTGCTCAATTTTCTGATTAGTGGAGGTATATGCTTTCATTGTTGGGTTTATAATGCCATTTTAACTTTTACTCTATAAACTATTCGGAAATGGAGTCGGTTTTCCAGCGTAAAATCTATACATTATACTTACCAAATACAGACAGAAAGCAATGTTCTTTATATGATAATTATCTCTTCAGTCCTCTTTTCTAGAAACTTTATAACAATATACAAAAAGTTTGAGTAATTGATTTCTTAATATGAAGTAAATTATATACGGTGCATTATAAGATATTTACTCTAAATTTATCGGAACATTATGAATTATCATTACATAATAAAATTAGTTACTGCGCTGTCAACATACCTGGAATAGAGTTGATGCACATGCAATTTTGCCAGATATCTGCAAAAGGAACAGAGAGTATTTATTGTTTCAACATATGTGTTTTTAGTTTAAGGCATGTCACTTAGATTTTCAAAGGATTTTTTTTAACTTACTTTTACATTAATATGGTACCAGCATATATATATGTACATCGTCGCAAGCTTATAAACATGGTTTAATTTAATACAGCATTGAGGACCCAAAATTCCGAAAGGTTTCCCAAATACAGCCACGGTAATCTATTCCTGGTGTAGAAAATCCTTAGTATCTCGAACAATTCAAAGTTAAGTACAGTTAATTTATTTATCTTTCAATTTGCAAACTCCTTTCTACGTTCTTAAAACATTTTGTATGCTATTTAGTCTTTGACTTTTTGGATACTCTGTTGAAATGTTATGTGATTAAATAGAGATGTGAATGATACGCTAATGAAACATCAACCTAACGACACAATTACCCAAAGATATCCAGGGGGCAACATACAGTCTTAAAAAAAGACAGGTGTCTATACAATATGTCAAGCTCTAAATACTCTTTACTCTAAATTTTACATTTGAATAAAACTTGAAACAGATTATTGTGTACTTAAAGGACATAACGTACATGTAGGTGTCAATTGATTTGAAATGTCCATCACCCCTGCACTCATAACAGAAACTTTCATACAGCAATGTTATCAACAAAATAGGAAGACAATAACATATATCCGACGTGATAGTTACAATATTTCTAAGCTTCTTCTTTCTCTGTTTTCAATACATCTAAAAATGATTATTTATTTATTTAATTGGGACGTTACCCTGATTACCTTGAGTTTTTGGAAACTATCTTTTACGAAATATTCAGCCGAAATATTTGTTGTTAACACCTATTGACTATAATATGAGGTACATGTAGTGCGTGATCGGTTAAATATAACTTTACGTTTTCAACATTAAACATGCAGATGCTAAAAGTAATGATCAATTATAAATTTTGAACTCATAGTTTTAACATTGTTTTTACTTAAAATATGTTTTTATTGTGCCATATTTTTTTAACGCTCAAAATACAAACATCAAATAAAAAAGAAGTGGTATGATGCCAATGAGACAAATCTTCACAAGAGACAAAATGACTCAGAAATTAACAACTATAGGTCACCATACGGCCTTCAACAATGAGCAAACCCCATACTGCATAGTCAGCTATAAAAGGCCCCGAAATGACAATGTAAAACAATTCAAACGAGAAACTTAACGGCCTAATTTATGTACAAAAAAGAACGAAAAACAAATATGTAACACATCAACAAACGACAACCACTGAATTATAGGCTCCTGACTTGGGACAGGCCCATACATACAGAATGTGGCGGCGTTAAACATATTAGCGTGATCCCAATCCCCCCCCCCCTCCCCCTAACCGGGGACAGTGGTGTAACAGTACAATATAAGAACGAACTATAAAAATCAGTTGAAAAAGGCTTAACTCATCAGATGGATACAAATAGAAAAAATCTAAAAAAAAACACATAGAGTGGACGTGGCCAGGTACTTGTACATCCCAACAATAAAAAGACACTAAGTACAGATCTGACAGTACTCGCAGTTACTGACAGCTAGTTAAAAGCCACTAACAACTATTAAAAACAAATCATGCATCTAAGACTAAATTATCAATCAGTACACCTCCAACATCCAATGGATTGAGTGTAAAGACATCATAAACAGTCAGAGATAAACATGACCCTGTGCAATGCCAAGATACAGGTGTCGACAGGTTGTAGATCCATGAATGTGTATATGTATATAACAATAATATTTAGTTTGCTTTTAATTTACTGATAACAAAATCAATATTAATACCAATAAAAACAATATTCAAAGATCTAATTACAGTGTTGAATTGGTACCCTTTTAGAATAAGTTAATTTAAAGGATCGATAAGTTTACCAGGATCGTTTCTAAATTTCCGGGCACGGTAAACAACATCTCTGTAAAAAAGAGGATGTGCTATCCCGTTTGAAATAAGTTTTCTATAGGTACAACCAAACTTCAAAACCAAATCTTTATTTCTATGGAAGAATTTAGTAAATGTTTTAAGTAATTTGTGGTAACGAAATCCCTGGCTTAATAATTTACCAGTAATACATAGACTACGTTCGTTAAAATCAAAAACGTCACAACAGAGACGGGCATAGCGAACGAGTTGTGAAATATCAACACCTTAAGATGGTGTCAAAGGAACATTGTAGTAAATTTTAGTATTGAGTTTTAGGTGTTAAACCGAAATATCTAAATCTAGGAAAGGACAGTTATTACCGTTTACATTTGATTTTAAAGTAAGTTCCTTTGGGTAAATTTCGGCAATATATTTAGAAAATTCTTGATTATTTAACGAACAAATATCATCAAGATAACGGTAAGTGTTGTTGAATTTATCAATCAAATGCAATTTAGACGGGTCTTTACTAAGTTTGGTAATAAACCTTGATTCATAACAGTACAAAAACAAGTCTGCTAATAAAGGGGCGCAATTAGTGCCCATAGGAATACCTACAACCTGTTGATAAACTTTGTTGCCGAAACGTTCATAAATATTATCAAGCTGAAAATTAACAGCTTCAATCATCTCATCACACCTCCAGTAAGTATATCTAGCATATTTACCTTTCTCATTAGAGAAGAAGGCTTTAAATGAGTTGCAGCAAATATATTTGCATTCAGATTTACCAAACTACCATTTAATTAAATAGGAAAACGTTTCTTTGATAAGATTGTGTGGAAGTGTAGTGTAAAGAGCTGAAAAGACAAAACAGAATCAAAAGGACCATCAAAAGCACGTAATTTATCTAAAACATCCAAAGAATTTTTTACACTCCGAAAAAAGTTAATTTCACTATTTTCATAGATTTTATTACAAAAGTGATAAGTTCTTTGATAGAAGTTAAGGAAATAGTTAAAAGCACTGAAAGATTAGATGTAGAACACTTACTAGAGGCCGAGATGAAACGATATTTTACTGGTTTTTTGTGTACCTGAGGTAACCAATACATAGTAGGGACCTTCAAATGTTCAGAAGATGCCTTAAGCTGTGATGTGGTTATAATATGTTTGTTTACTATATGACTCTCTGTGGAGCGTACAGACTTGAATGTAAATGAATTTAAAATTTCATTCTTAAGAAGGTCCGTGTAGATTTTACGGCATACCACCACCACAGTACAAACACAAACCGCTTTGAAAGTTCTTGAAGTTTATTTCTTATTCTAGAAATAGGCGTATCATGTACTACGTGTGAAATTCGAATATCCACAACATTCATACATTTATTTAAATAAGAATCGAGAGATTTTTTATCAGATTTTTCCCGTTTACACCAATTCTTACAATACGAGGAAAGAGCGTCTTTTTTGACCTGACGACACTGTTTCCAATCTATTTTAGATGGAGGACGATATTTTGGTCCTTTTTTCAAAAAGTTTTTAACCTCTCTGTCTTGGACGATATTGAGGTCCCCCGCACAGTTACAAGATAGAGGAGTATTATTTTGTACATTACATTAATAATAATAATCTTTTAATATCAATTTAATCATTTATGAATATAAGCTTTTTTTTGTTTTTTTTTTGTTTAGTTTTTTTTTTGTGTATGGGGAGGGGGATGTTAATAGAAGCGCTGACACTGACAGGTCAAAATGAATAAACATATATTGTTTTCTTCTTTGATAGAAAAAATGAATATAATTATTGTATGAGATGAAGAAATACAAAATAAAGAATAATAATAAAAAAATTATATTTTCTACATTGACGTCTGATGTTATTGACGTATAATTAAAAATTAAACTTCTGCTGGATTTTTTTGTATGTTGTATGAAATAATGTGTGGTTCTGTGTTATCAAAATAGGAAGGTATAAAGTTTTGAACGGTAGAGTCATTAAATATACTCGATAAGTTGACCTCTGTTAATATATTTAATTTTCAGAAAGTGCCGTTTATGATCTTCAGGTTTATCGATACGCGGGAACAGCCTATGGTTGCAAAAAGCTGTAATTATACGCGAATATTCATAGAGTGGACTGAAGAAAGAGATTGTGTCACACTCCTGGAAAATATCATGTACTTTACTAATTGGTATTTGACCAGTTTACATAATAATTGATGCCTACCATTGTTTTTAAATAAAGATAGATTATCAAATGCATAATTTATACGATGTTAAATTCGTTGATTTCGATTGATACGTTTGCCATGAGACCTATTATTACGTTTTCTTTTATCGACAATATTCATAATATCTATAGAAGAAGTTGTAGATATGTTCCCTTGTCCAAGTAAATTATCATTAAGACCCAGGGGATAAGCTGTCTGTCGTTTAATTCATGACAGTTCAATAATTTTACGGGAATCTTCAAATTGTTTATGCGATTGCCCTTGTTGGAATCTTACAAATTTAATATTGTGATTGTGTTTACCTAAATGTTGGTAAATTATACTTTTGAATTTCTTTGGTTTTCGGAAGCGGTATAGTTGTTCCTGTGTTTATTTAAAGCATTCCTGTCCTGTTTGTACTACATATTGTATACCACATTTTGGCTTTGTTCAAGTAACCAGATAAATGAGGCTTTGAGTTTTTCATGTAATGTCACAGGAAAAGGAAAGCGAAAAAGCTCTCCCGTTCACTGTTGACCTAACAGTATTATTAGAAGATAATCTAGATCAGGTTAGTCATTTTCTGGCATTGCACGGGAATATTTGTGGATATCCACGTGCATTTTTATTTAATAATCTGGCTGCAGCAGCATTGCCACCTTTGACACAGTTGTAAAAAGTGCTAAATTTAGAAGGGGAATTTCGATTGACGGCGTTTGAATTTTTATTTGGAATGAGGTTTTTTGAGCACGTGAATATCCTTGAAGGATTGGTGTATAATGTTTCTTGCCATTTCGTAAAATCATGATTAATCAAGGGTAATGAGAAAATTAAATGAGGCCGATAGTCATAACATTGAATAAGAATTACAATAACGGAACA